AAAATTATAGAAAATAATGTATATAATAAAAATATTGTAATTCTTAGTTTTTTAAATATCAAATAAAAATATTTTTTATTTTTATAAAATATTTTTCCTCAAATCGAGCTCGAGCTTATAAGTTTTTTGCTCGAACCGAACTCGAACTCAATGTTCTAGCTCGAGCCTTATACAACCTTGGTGAGCCGAAATCGAACCTCATACTATTCGACTCGGCTCGGCTCGAATCCACCCCTATTTAGCCCTAAAACTCCCACTCAGATTCAAAGATGTATTGTTATCTAGAATACTGAAGGTAAGGAGAATCAACATCCCAGGGGTATATTTAGGCCTTCCCTCTTTGATAGGAAGATCGAAGTCTCGAAAAGAGTAGAGGATTGGAAAGAAAAGTTTCTCAGCTTAACTGGGAAGGAAATTGTTTTGAAGTCAGTCAAGTGCTCTCCCTGTTTATACTATGTCTTGTTTTCAATTGCCTATCTCCCTTTGCAAGGACATCGTGAAGGTACAGAGGAATTTCTAGTGGGGGAGTGATTCCTTTGGAAAAAAAGATTCATTGGGTTAAGTGGCATGAAGTCTGTAAAAGCAAAAGAGAAGGGGGAATGGGTTTCAGGGAGCCTAGTTGCTTCAGTCGGGCATTGTTAGACAAGCATGGAAGTTAGACAAAAACCCAGAATCCTTATGGAGGCGAAATGCAAAAATGGCTCTTCCTGGGGTTGGTCCAGTCTGATTAAAGGCAAGGAGGCATTAATCACCAGAGTCTGTTAAAGGCAGCCTCTAGGTTTTTGTTTCTTACTATTGCTTGGCTTACCTGGTTAAACTGTAACAATATTGTTCATGGTTTATTAATGCTCATGCTTCTCACAAGATTTTTAAAATCGAAACGGACAACGAACCGTTTAGGGGTCTGGTTTCTAGGTCGAACGATCCGGCTGTTCGAACCGAATGAACAACCCGTTTTAAYAAAAGAATTAAAAAAATGGTCAAAAACCAAATGACAATTCTGAGGTAAAACGGAACCAATCAAGTAACCGGTTCCTGGTTTATCCGATCCAGACTGTCCGGTCCGGTCCGATTTTGAAAACCATAGCTTCTCATATAATTTGGAATGCCCACAAATTATGCCAAAAGAGGAAGGAAGCAAAGATTTTGGCGTCATCGTCAAGGCATGTGATGTCATCTGACCGAAACTTTGATAGTATGCTAGAGGTCCTTCAACTAAGGTTTTTGTTGATGGTGCTTTGAAGCGTGATGTCGTCTGGCTATGAAGCAGTTTTTGTTGATCAGTATAGCACTATTTCAGTTGCGTTTGCGGTTCAACATATTCCAAGATCTGCTGTTTTCTCTGAATTTTTTGTGGTTCTTATGGCGGTGAGAATAGCAAGGAATTTGAACTTCCTTTCGTTGGTTATTTTGTCAAACAGCATTGAAGTTGTCAATGTTCTTTTGGGTCGAAGTCCAGGGGCGAAACTGGAACTCAGGACTCTGGTTCGAGATATTCGAACAAAGACAGGAAATGATGGATTCATTGTCTTCATATTCCCAGAACCCAAAATCGAGCAACCCATTTCCTGGCAAGTGGCCAATGCCCCTTCTCTGGGTTGTGGACCACTCTGGGTTGTGCCTTTCCTACTGAAACTTCTATCCTCTGAATTATGTAATTCAAACCTGATTGTTGTTGCTCCTTTAATTTAAAGTTCTATTTACCAAAAAAAAAAGAAAAAAAAAGAACAGTGCAGCACCACACTAATAACGGCCTAAACCCAAAAGCTGTGGCTTTTTAATTTTTTGGGTTGGGTTGAACCTAACCCTTAGGTATATCCCAAACCTAGTCCAAGAACCCCCTATTTGCTAATATTGTTCATTCATTCATTGCAATAAAATATCTTTTTAAAAGGTAATAAAAGTTATAAAATCATTATTTTTTTATGTAAAAAATAAGAATTTCATATCCTAACATAGACTTGTTCGGACTTGCCTCGAGGGATATGGTACAAAGGCGACTCATAGAATCAAGAATGCAATATGTTTTACATCACATTAGCTACTTGAAGCAATGCAATTAAGGAGGAAAAGAGATTGTGGGTTTTAAATACTTAAAAATGCTTTATATGTTTGCTTTTATTTTTAAATTTTCATTTGAATACGCTTCACATGTTATGTTTATGTATTTCAATTTTAAATAATAGGTTTTTTAAAACGTTTTTTATAAATTTAAGTTTATATTTTTTATTACATTATGTTTAATATTTTTTGAATTTTTTTGCATTTTTTTAAATTATTTGATATTTTTTTGAATTTTCTAACTTTTTTTTAGCTTCTTTTTTTTAATTTTGCGCCTTTCTTAAAACGGCATGCGCCTCGCCTTGCGCCTTGCGCCTTGCTTTTAAAACATTTTACCCAAAAGACATTTTGATAGTTGACAAAGAAAAATTAGATGACACCTGAAAGGCGTTTGCCTCTTTTCACATGCCACTTAATAATAGTTAACGATTTTCGACTAAAGGAGTTCAAGTATTAAATTAGCACGTTTTGATTTTTTTTTTTTTTTTGGATCGATAACAAGAAGCATTTCATTAGTAAGCGATTAAAATATGAGGGGAGATAAAATATCTTTACTCCCCTAGGGATTAGCACATTTTGATTTTTTTTTTTTTTNAAGCATTTCATTAGTAAGCGATTAAAATATGAGGGGAGATAAAATATCTTTACTCCCCTAGGGATTAGCACATTTTGATTTTTTTTTTTTTTGGATCGATAACAGGAAGCATTTCATTAGTAAGCGATTAAAATATGAGGGGAGATAAAATATCTTAGCTCCCCTAGGGATTAGCACGTTTTGAAATTCAAGTACCTAAGTGAGACTAGGCCCAATATACAGGGTACTAATATGCAATTTTCCCTTTTTTTTACTTTTTACTTTGAAATTTTCATGACGGGTCGTTTTAAGACCACTTATCATTTAAAAGTATCACTTTTTGAAAATGCGGTGTATCAACATACCACCGGTCATGTCAAAATTTTGAACCATGGCTAAATTTTGTTGGAAATAGTTTTGGTAACCAAGGGCCCTCAAGGTTGGAGGGGTGTTTAGGGACAAAGATGGTAGTAAAATAGCCAGTATTTAGAAAATCAGACTGGACCGGCCAGTTGGACCGATTGAACCATGACCTGAGGCCCTAGCCAGTTTGGTCACACCCCAAGAACCATAATGTCTAAAATCCAGTGAAATAAGAGACTTAAACCTTGGTCATTTGCTTTAAAACTTAAAGAATTTGCCATCCATCCATCATGTTTTTTTATATTAAAAGTTATAAAATATATTATACATAGTATTTACAGAACCCATAAGATATATACATATATACCATGTCATCACGGTTCAATCTCTACTTTGACCCTGGTTGAAACTCTGACCCATGAACCTCTCCCTTCTCCAGTTCTTTGAGCATTGATAATARCCCTATTCTTCGGTCCTGTTGGCCTAGGAGATTCTACAAGAGCTGAAGTACTAATTGTAATGTATAGAGTTCAAAAGGCAAAAGAAATGAACCTAAAGAGGCTGGGAAGGGAACTCTCAAGTGATGGTTGGATAGATGAAGGATGAGAAGAAGACCGTTTAGACTCGTAGAGATGCCATTAAGAAGATTAAATGGCTAGCAAGGAAAATGACAATAAAAACTCAATGAGTACCAAGGGCTGCCAAATAGGGGACAATTGTATTGGACTCAACTGTAATTTTTTTTTATTGCGGAGAGGTAGGTAAATCTACCTCTCTCCTCGGGATCCTCATTGTACATGTTTCTCTGTTTATGTTAATGAAATGAAATTCTGTTAGTATTTTATCGATAGGATAATATTTTATTAGAGCCAAATAAGAAAGTTACAATAGGGTGGGAAGGTTCTTTCCCCCAAACACAATTTTACAGCTTTGCCCAAAACAATTGATGTCTCAAAACCCTTTGTTTAGCTAGAGTATCTGCCATCCCATTGCTGTTCTTCTCACCCATTTAAAATTACCATTCAACTCCCTTGCAATGCTCTCAATCTCCCTCAATGTATGACTATAGATCCAAGGGATTTGGGTGCTACACCTTGTCTAAGAGATGACCACCTGAGAGTCCCCTTCCACTTCCAAATTAAGGAATCCAAAGCGCTTGGCAAATTTTAGTCCATGTAGAAGTCCAAATAGTTCTCTTGTCGGTGCATCACCATTTTCTAGAAGCCCTGAATACAAAGCTATCACCTTTTTTTTATGAATAATACAAAGCTATCACCTTTCCTCTTGAGTGTCTGAAGACACCTGCTAACCCAGACACATCCTGGTTTAGCAATGAAACCTCCATCAAAATTAAGCTTCACAAAGTTGGTTGCTGGGGGTCTCCAATCCATAAAGATGTTTTTTCTTTTTCTTGAGCTGATAAGGCCACTTCCTTCCAAGTTCTCAGAATGTCTTCCAAAGTTTTCACCCAGTGAGTAGTTTTTAACTTTATTGTTTCTATGATGTCCACCTCTGACCTTTTTTCATTGAAGATCCTTCCATTTCTTTCTCGCCAAAAGTCCATACCATAGAGGCCCTTGCTGTTATCCATAGCAATCTTCCTCTTTGTTTTGGCTGCCTCATGAAGTTTGGATCAAAGAGGCCCGCCACCTCCTGTGGATGAGGCCACTGCAACCAAAAAGAGAACAAAGATGCTCCCAAATACAAAGCACAAAAGGACAGAATGAAAAGAATGGGAAACAGTTTCACCATTGCATTTRCAGAGGATGCACAAGTGAGGGGAAAGGCACTTATTTGGCCTTCTTTTCTACAGAACATCACAGCTGTTGACCTTTCCAAGGAAGACCCCAACAAAAGGCCTGAATTTTAGGAGGGATCGGCTTACTCCAAATTTCCTTCACCAGGATATTTACCCCATATGAAATTCTGTTAATCATAAACCAACAAAAGGCCTGAATTTTCTGCCTCTCCTCTCTTTTCCCTGGCCAATCTAGACTACTGAAATGGTCTATATTTGTTCATATGTTATTCTTCCTCGTCTTCTTTTCATCTTATTAAGTGGTTATTTGGTTAATAGCTTTTTTTTATGGATAATCAACAGAAATGCAATGCAATATAAAATGGTTAAATGCATTTCTGTCATGGATTGAAAAGTTGAATGTGTTTTGTCATATTAAAAAAAAAAAAAAAAAAAAAAAAAAAAAAAAAAACTGATATATTTAGATGATTAAAAAAAGTACGACTCCATTAACGGACCTAAAACTCCAGCAATGAGAATAGGAGTACATGAGGAACTGAGGAAGCAGCCCTTTGGGCTGGATAACCATGAAATTGAAACAGAGGCAAGCCCAGTACTAAATGATTTAAGAGACCTTCGAGAAGCCTCTTACTTCATCATTTCTCCCATTCTGGAGGATATTAGGACTCTCATACTCAGGTTTAAAAGTGATAAYTCTAATGATCATATTTTGTTTGATCAAACTCTAATGATCATATTAGAGCACAGAAAATGCATGACAAGAATACAACTTTCGGTTATGGATCTTATCCAACCCCATGGCTAGCCACAAGACTAGCATGGATATTTTATATTCCACCTCTTGTTGATGCAATCTTTTGTGGACTACCAAAGTGCTCCAAGGACATGTGCATTATACCACACGAGGAAATAATTGATATCCCGGTCTTCATCAGGCTAAGAGTTGTAATATAGCCAAAATCTGATTGTAATTTAATCCAAAAAAAACGGAGCAGCTAATTCTAAATTTGGGGCTCCAATAAGAACAAGTGAATCATATCTTATGAGAATACATATTGAAAATTCATCATACCTAAGTAATATGACAGCAAAAAATCTATCTGTAATTTGACAACATACCGGTAAAAATGGAGCCGGAGCGGTTCCTTCTTCTGAAACATAGCAAGTATTCTTTTCACTACAGTGGACGAGTAACAAATCCCCTATCTACCATCTTCTCTACTAGTTCTTCATGCTTCTTTATTTGTCCTGCCTTCCTTAATTGCTGCAGCACCATCTCGTAGACTGGAAGGGACGGCTTCAAGCACTTCTCCTCAATCATCTCCCTAAAGAATTTGTAAGCTTGGTTCCAATGCCCAATCCCACAAAACAATGAGATCAATATCCTGTAAGTATTCACGTTAGGTTCAACCTCATTTTCATCCATTTCTTTCTTCAACTTAATAACCATGTCTCTGGATTTTGAGTCTGCAAACATTCGCATCAAGACATTGTAAGTCACCGTATTGGGCTTGCAATTCAACTCCTTCATCCTAGCATACATCCTGTGAGCTGCATTCACATCCTTCAGCTTGAAAATGCACCTGAAGATTGGATTGAATGTGGATGCATTGGGGCTACACCCCTTCTTCACCATCTGGTTGAGCACCTTAACAGCTTCCTCAAGATTCTCATCCCGACAGTGACTCTCAATGAGGAAGTTGTAGGTGATGGTATCAGGTGGACAAGAGAGTCTCTTCATCTGGTTATACACCTGCAGGACCTTCTCAGTCCGCCCCGCCTTGACATGAATTCGCATCAAGTTATTGAAAGTAATGGAGTTGGGTTCGCATCCCTTATCAAGCATTTCTGCGAAAACATCGTGGGCTCGAGTGATTTGCCCACATCGACACAACGCATCAATCACAATGCTGTAAGTGTACACATTGGGCTGGATTCCAGCCTCCTTCATCTCTCGAAACACTCTCTCAGCTTCCGAAATGTTGCCTGCCCGACACCAACCATGGACCAAGCTCGTATATATGACAACGTCAGGCTCAAATTTATGCTTCAAGCTGTCAAAGAAGGACTGAGCTTCAGATGCCCTTCTTTTCTTACAGAGAATACTGATGACTACAGAGAACGCAATTCTATCAGGCTTGCACCCATAATCATCCATCCGATTAAATGCGTGAACGGCCTCAGCAGCCAAGCCAGCACGTACATATCTCCGGACAAGGATGGAGAAGGTTTCAATAGGAATTTCGACATTTCGGGACTTCATGGCATCAATCAGGTGCCAAGCGAGATCGAACTGCCGGACCTTTCCAGCGAGATCAATCATCTCGTTATATGGTTCGGAGGAGTGTTGGAATTCAGGTCTATTGGTGGCCCAGTTGAAGAAAGATAGGATTTGAAGGAAGGGTATGCCATGGCGTACACCGCCGCATTTCTCGATGACATGAGCTACGATGGCAGGGGAAACGAAATCAATGGAGGGGATTCTGGAAAAAGAAGGGGTGAGCTCGGAGAAGGTAAAAGTAGGGTTTCGTGGGACAGGAATAGGGTCAGGGTTAGGATTTTTGCGGTGGTGTTCCTTGATTAGGGCAGAAAGCTTATCTGCTAGGAGAGTTTCAGTAGGTGAAAGCTTGATGGTGTTAGGGTTTTCGCTCTCATCTTCGTCTCCTCGAAGATTGCATTCTATGGCCGAAGAAGAAGAGGTACAGTAGTAGTGTGCGAAGCTAAGTCGGGAGAGAGACTGTGTTGAGAGTGTCAGACTCAAACGAAGTTTTGGTTTGATGAAACTAGCCATGGAGTCTGCTCTGCTCGCTATCGGAGGGAAGCGAGACTGGTGATTAAGCATTTAAGCTTATCAATGGGTCGGGATCTGGTAACCGGAATCGACCCGCTAAGGACATGCGATCGAATTAGACCCGATAGGGTTCACATATGCCCCCCACATAGTTGCCCCCCAAAAGCGTCTCATACATTCTTTGCGCGCCGCGTGTCCTCAGGCACGCGCACTAAGATGACTCGTGCGGACCTCAATTTGACGTCCGTTTGCAAAAAGGATCTAATCCCTTACTCTGGGTATTCTTCTCCCATTCTGCTGCCGAACTGAAACCTTGGTGCCCCCTTTCATAGCCCACCGGAGATTAACTCTTTCGAGTTCCGCCGGTCGACGCTGACTACCATACCAGTACCAGCTAAGTATTCTGTAACTCATTTTCTATCTTTTTTTTTTTTTTAATGTTTTTTCTCATTCATCTTTTAACATCCTCAAATCTGAAACCTGCCGGAGTCGGAGCCTATTTCTCGTTGAATCTGAGGTCAAAGGGAGTCCTGCTTTTCAAAAGAAGCAGGACGTTTTTGAGCGAGATGGAACTAACGGAAGTGTTTGCAAACGGACGTCAAATGGAGTCCGCACGAGCCATCTTAGTGCGCGTGCCCAAGGACACACGGCGCGCATAGAATGTGTGGGACATTTTTGGGGGGCAACTATGTGGACCCAAATCGATAATAAATATTGGGGAAAATTTTGGATTAGTACTTGTATTTTGGGTCTAATGTCACTTTGGTCCTCGAACTTTAAAATACAATAATTCAATATCCGAACTTTAAAAACATGACAATCCAATACATGCTATTAATTAACTGTTATCCAATTGCCAAGTGGTATTTAAAAAAGACACAAATAATCTTCAAAGGTTATCTAATTTTCTTTATCAACCATCCAAACATGACAAAAAATTGATAGTATAATCTTAATTAAAAGTTCTTCATCAAGATTGTATGTCTACAAGGATAAAATTGATATAAAATACTTAACTTTTTAATATGTAAATAATTTAAATTTTAACAATCTTTTCATTAAGATAATATCATTAAAATCAACTTTTTTATTGCTATTCATATAACAAAATTATATGTTAAGTATAATGAGATCTATTGGGTCAGATACTCGGATCCGATTATTTCAACTTTTAACCGGCTATTTCTAGGTTTATGTTTTGTCCCGATTAAATAATCGATTTGGGACTGGTACAGGCTGTTCCAAACCAGGCACGGCCCATTGACAGCCCTAGTCCCAAGTGGAGAAGCCTTTGTTGGGTGTCAAATGGATATAGCTATTTTGAAATCAGATGCATGGTTGAAGCTAGACCGTACAAGAATTATGGCACCGTTTCACAGTCCGGTTTGCAATTTTATTCCAGGTCAGGTTTGGATGAATGGGACCGGATCGGGTGTGTTGAACCGAAAACCATTCTGAACCCGACCCCTTGAGGTCTTGTGGCAAAGTAGGGTCATGATTTTGCCCGTTTTTGTTTTAGTTAAATCACAGGCTGCTACCCTGTTTTAGGTTATTACTCCTTTTCTTTGCTTTTTCGAAAAGACCCCATAAACCTTTGGATATCAGCACTTTACCCCTTACTAATGGAATTAATTTTGAAGTAAATTTACAAAATTGCCAACGCAGTTTTGTCAAATAAGAAACAAAGTTCCTCGTCAAGATTTTAAAAACATGTCCATTCTCATCATTTGATTGCTTTGGCTATCAACCATCGACCATAGTATCTAGTCGCTGAGTGATACCACCTTATTATAAAATGCCAGTCTTTGATTTACTCTTTTTTTTTTTGGGTGGATGGCACAATTTAATATGTAAACCTGACGTGATTGAATCCGAAGTGACTCTTTAGAGGTGTAAAATGGACCATGCCAGCCCATGACCAATGGGCCCGGCACCGCCCGCCCAGCCCACATTACACCTCTTGTAACTTTATATGTTATTTGTATTCTTTTTTCAATTTTACTATGGTATTTTTCCAATTTCATTGTTTTTTTTTTTCAAACTCATTTAATCATTTTATTGTATAATTGATTATTCATATGAAATAAAAATTTAAGATTTTTATTTTCAATTTGTTCTTGTCTTGTTTCAATTTTATTATAATTTTTTTTTTACTTTTCATTATTTTTTTCAATGCTTATCCAAAATTTTTAAAAAAAAACCATGCTGGCTCACAGCCCTGCCCAACTAGGCTCAAACTCAGCCCGGCCCTTGTCCTATAGGGCCTCGGCCATGGACCAGGCCGGGCCTCCCATTTGGGGGAATTTGTGCCATGCAGGCACAGCCCGCTAGGCACAATGGCCAGCCCAACACAGCCTGCTACAGTGCTGGTGGCGACAAAAACAGGTCATGCTGGCTAGGGATGGATTCGAGCCGAGCCGAGCCGAATAATACCATGCTTGAGCTCGGCTCAAGACTATTCTACAAGGCTCGAGTTCGGCTCGAGTCAAAAGTTCATAAGCTCGAGCTCGACTTGTCTCAGCTCGTTTTATATTTTATAAAAATATTTTATTATATATTTTATAAGTATTTTATTATAAAAATATTTAGAAAAAATATTTTATAAAAATAAAAATCATATATAAAAAAAAATATTTTATATTTAAAAATTAAGAATTATAATAATTAATAATTATAATATTTTTATTATATATTCAAACCAGCTCGCGAGACTCACGAGCTCGTAGTCTCGAGCTCGGCTCGTTTAATAATCGAGCTATTGAATTGGACTCGAGCTCGAGCTCAAACTTAATTAAAACCGAACCAAACCGAGTTCGAATAACTCGTGAAAAGCTCAGCTCGTTGCCACCCCTAATGCTGGCCCAGCCAGCTCACATTACACCACACTCGGTTTATGTCCTCCCTAAGTTATGGAGGTCAAAGCTTGATAGACGATGTATTTATTTTTTGTTTTATATGCCTTCATTGTTGAAATCCTGTAATCATTGACCATCTGACCCTGTTTTTCAACCTCTAGGTGAAATTTTAGGGCCATTTTTTTTTAAATACCTGGCATATTTATCAAAACACCCCTATTCAGGTGCTTCAGGCGTACGCCGCAAACACCTTTTTGCATGAGATGTATGCCTCTAATACACCCATGCACCTCATGCACACCTCATGTAAAATGGAAGAAAGGAAGAAGAGAAAGAAAGAATAGAAATGGAAAAGACAGGAAAAAAAAAAAAAAAAAGTAAAGAAAGGAGAACTCCTTATTCCTCCACTTGAGGAGGTTCACACCACCTAGTGCTCGAGCAGTAAGAAAAACATTTCCCATTGGAGACTATCCCCTACATATTTCAACCAAGACAATTTCTGAAGAGTTTAATCAGATAACAGTCTGGCCTCCTTCAACCGAATTTATCTTTTATCAAATAATAGAAACTTGACCTCCAACCGAATTTTACAGTAATCTAATTGGTAATATCTTCTTGACTAGTGGTTCTCATCATCAATCAATATCTTCCTTCTAATACAGATTTATGGAGTACCTCAGCACCATAAACCTCCATGAAATTCTATCTTATTCACAAAATCTTTCCAAACACACACTAGAAAGAAGAAACTTATTGTTCTGCATCTGACATTTTAGGGTTGTAGTTCTGACAGGCCATAAGGAAAAAGATAAAAGGTTCTACAGGAGGGATCAATAATCATGTATAATGACAAAAGGGCATTTAAGCTCTCACATACTTTCGGTTTGCAAAGAATTACATGAAAGACATTCTCATTGAGAATGCCAAAGCTACCTAGTATTTTCTGTAAACATTTTTTTTTCATTTTTGCAGAAGGAGATCAAAGGGGGAAATTTGACTTGCTTATTATATGACATAATATAAGTTGGTAACAGAATGTGTACAAATATTTACTGAGGTTCTGAACGCATTTGTTGAGCAATTATCTCTTCAATGTTGTCCACAAAACTTGAAAGATTCTGCCGTGTTTGTACATTCAAGGAGTTCACCAGTTCCTAATTTTTAAAAAGAAAAAAAGAACAAACATGGTTACTAATAAACAGATTAACAGCATGTAAATAAAATAACGGGTTTTCTCAAGTCTAAAAGAAGCAACTATGTGCAAATCATTTCCAGTCTACACTGTCTACATGGTTGGGACTGCTTCTCGTAACTACAAAAAAAGGGCCTCTAACATGACAAGTGGAACTACATAAAAACAAACCTGGTTACAAGATCTAAATTTCTATCTCTGTAGTAAGTTTCTATTAGAGCTGTTCACAGAATGTCGAAAACTGACCAAACCGACCAGACCGACCCAACTCGACCCGATGTGGCCGGTTTTTAACTTAATTTGGTTGGTTTCGGTTTAGAAATATGCATAACCTGACTGATTGGTTCGGTTGCGCATTATAACTTTATAAACCGACCCGAACCAGCCATATGAATGATGCTTGCATGTTCTAGTTTAATCTTTGCAAAAAAAGCAAGAAGGTGGAAGTGTGAAGTCAAACCTGAGTCTTTGGCCTAGCTCTCAGATATAGTACAAGTCTGGATTTTTAATGCTAATAAGACAGTAGTAAGAAGTCTAATCTGAGCCTTAGGCCTAGCTCTCAGGTCTAATCTGAGCCTTGCAAGCGACAGCATCAAGTTAGACTAAGTGCTTGATGGCTTCCAGACGAGGTTTCGGTTGAAACCGAACAAACCGACTTATCGGTAGTTTTTATTGCAAGTTGGTTTTTTATTTCTCTGGGTCGATTTTGGTTGATTTAGTAGTCAACCCGACATAGTCGGTTCGGTTGAAAAAACTATGTATAACCAAACCGAACCGACCCATGTACAGCCCTAGTTTCTATCCAACATTTTGTTGCCACATAACAAAAGGAAAGATAACTCTCTCACATTTGAATACAAATTGAAGGATCATGGTTCAACTATGTTTTGAGAAACCAAATTAATAGGTAATATGTTATACAGTTGATAGCTGATATGGACAACGGCACTTTAAACATCGCAAACCAAAAAGGTTCCCTATTAGATGAACAGACTGGACTGCAAAAGGTATGCATCAAAACAAGTGTGAGTTTAGATAGTTAGAAACAGAAGAAAGAGAGGAGAAACAAGAAAACAAAGAACCAGATGACATCACATTTACTTGAACAGCATAGTTATGTCGACTATTGATGTAGGACCAGCACAGTTCTAGTCCAAAAAGGTTCCCTATTAGATGAACAGACTGGACTGCAAAAGGTATGCATCAAAACAAGTGTGAATTTAGATAGTTAGAAACAGAAGAAAGAGAGGAGAAACAAGAAAACAAAGAACCAGATGACATCACATTTACTTGAACAGCATAGTTATGTCGACTATTGATGTAGGACCAGCACAGTTCTAGTCCTTAGAGAATGTTAAAACGGTCTTCTTGATCAGAGTTTTATGGTCATTAATGGATGCAATGGCTTCTTAAAGGAATAAGAGAGAAAATAGGGAGAGAAAGAAGAGAGAARATACCTDGRATCACTYACAGGGTGCCTAGAATCACTCTAGGGCATGGGAATCACTCACCATAGCTAGCATAATCTAAAGAAAACTCAATATGATTCATTGCCTTTGTGCAAAACATCCATACATATTTATACACTCTAAACCCATAATAATCCTAGGAGTCAAACTGTTAGACTCATAATAGTCTTAGGAGTCAAACTGTTAGACCTAGTAATCCTTGTAGACTCAAACTATGCTGTCATATCCTATTTCAACTCAAAGAAGACTTAATAACTCTAATCCTACTTATGCAATGACTGAAATTTTAAACATAAACAAACTATAACTAGAAAAGTTAAACCTTATCATTGGACCCCACAGAAAATTGCAAAAATGACAAAAATACCTTTGGTGTTCAATTCAGTCCAAATCCCAAGTACCATAACTATGCCATATTAGGACCTGTTGTAAGGCCTTCTTTCTAGAATACGTCTGCAAGGGTGCTGATCGATTCCTATCATCTCTCCCTGGCTTGAAAGAACTCGACCCTGGCGAGTTAAAAGCATGGTACCTTTCATAAAGATCTGGGTTGAGATGATGAAAGTTTTCAGCAGTAATCCAAGAACCCTCAGACATAAGCTTGCCTTTCTACTTGACAAGGAATTTCCGATACCCTCCTGTAGCAATAGATATTATTTCCTCATCTAAAACATCCTCTGGAATATCATTTGGAGCTGCAATATGTGGCAATTTAGGTATAGGAGTCTTAAAAGAATCCACATGTCCATGGTAAGGAGTCAAGTCCTCAACATTGAAGATAGGACTAATTCCCATGTCATCTGGCAACTCTAGAACATAGCCATTAGAACTTATCTTCTTGAAGATTTTGTAAGCACCAACACTCTTTGAGTGGAGCTTCTTGTAAACACCTTTAGGAAGACGTTCTGGCCGTATACGTACCATAGCCATGTCTCCCTCTTGATAATTTACCAACTGTCGATGAATATCAGCTCTAGGCTTGTATAAATCATTGCTCAATGCAATATTTTTCTTAACATCATCATGTATCTCTCTTATGTTCCTAGCAAATACTTCTGCTTCAATGTTAGTACGTGTATCTAGTGGTAAGGTAACTAAGTCAATTGGCCGCTTAGGCTGAATACCAGTCACCACTTCAAATGGACTTCTTCCTATGGATCTATTTACTAAGTTGTTATAAGCAAACTCAGCCATTGGAAGCACTAGATCCCATCTAGAAGTATGATCACCAACTAGACACCATAAAAGATCTCCTAAGCTTCTATTTACTACCTCAATCTGACCATCTGTTTGAGGGTCTAAATCTCCATTGAAATCAGAAACATCCACCTTTACCCTCTTGGTTATATCATCTGCATTACCACCATGTTCAGCTTGTTCCATCATCTCATCAAATAGATTTGTGAGCAGTGCTTCTTAATCAATCCCTTGATGGGTATTTCGGGTTCGATTAGCTTGTGCAGGTGGTACCCTTGGGCAGTTTGCAGCTCTTTGTCATCCTCTAAGATTAACAGATCCTTCATCTTCACCATTATCATCTTCATGGACAGCTCCATTGTTTCGTCCTCCATCCCTTTCATTGATTAGAGGTGTTTCTTGCTGGACTTCTTCTTTATCTTCTTGAAGTTCTTTTACTTGTGCTTCGAGGGTTTCAACTCTCTTGCAAAGGGTAGAAATCAATGAATCTCTTTGTGTATTAGTCAATCGACCCTTGTACTTCTTGCCACTACGTGTAGCCATGATGATAACAGCCTATAACCTTGGCTCTAATACCGAACTGATGTAGGACCAGCTCAGTTCTAGTCCTCAGAGAATGTTGAATGGTCTTCCTGATCAGTCTTATGGTTGTTAATGGCTGTAATGGCTTCTTAAAGGAATAAGAGAAAATAGGGAGAGAAAGATGAGAGAAAATACCTGGAATCACTCTAGGGCATGGGAATCAATCACCATTGCTAGCATATGCTGAAGAAAACTCAATATGATGCATGTAAAATGTCCATACATATTTATACACTCTAAACTCATAATAATCCTAGGAGTCAAACTGTTAAACTAATAATAGTCTTAGGAGTCAAACTGTTAGACTCAATAATCCTACTAGGACTCAAACTAAGCAGTCATCCTATTTCAATTCAAAGAAGACTCAATAACTATAATCCAACTTATGCAATGACTCTGAAATTTTTAAACATAAACAAACTAACTAGACAAATTAAACCCTATCATTGGACCCCACAGAAAATTGAAAAAATGACAAAAATACCCTTGGTGTTCAATTCAGTCCAAATTCCAAGTACCATCACCATGCCATATCAGGACCTATTGAAGTCTTCAAGGGTGCTGATCAGTTCCTATCAACAGTATACCGCAATCAGTCTTAAACTTCAAAGAGAAAAAGCAAGTGAGAAGCGAACTTAGTTGCCAATTTGCAATTCTGATACCAAGTTATGAAGGTTCTAAGGTTGAAAGAGATGAAAAACAAGAAGAGAAGGGAGAAATAAGAAAGAACTAGAGAAGAATGTGAGATCCATGCCTTGATCTAGTCATTTCATTAGAACCAATGTTGAGAGAACCGGACCAGGCATAGAACTGGATTAGGGAGAGGTTCACAGGTCAGAGTTTTAACCAGGGTCAAACCAGAGGTCAAACCATGATGATGTGGCATATATGTATATATACTACAGGTCATGTAAATACTATATATAATACATTTTACAATTTTTAATATAATTAGATATTGTGGATGGATGGCAAAATCCTAAATTTTTAAAGCAAATGACCAGGGTTCATGTTCCTTAATTTACATTTTCTTTAAAATACGTGTGCAATAAAGTAATATATACAATAAAGAATCATTAAATAACACAAGTAAAGAGGTAGACTAGTGGTAATTAAGCAGTATATGAAAATAAGAGGTCATGGGTTCAAATCTTGTCAAACATGTTTTAAAATTTCAATTATTTAATGGCCCGGGCGATTTCATTAAATTGGGATCAATTCACCAATTTTCACCAGGTTTTTAGCAAACACAGTTATTGGGGTGTGACCAAACCAGTCAAGGCCCCAAGTCACGATTTAACTGGTCTGGTTGGCTGGTCCGGTCCAGCTTCTTAAACACTGACTAGAACACACATAATGAAAGCTGAAATTACAAGAATGCCCCCATATAGATTATATTCTAGTAGCCTTTGATAATACTGTGAAACACTCCCAATAACTTTCATATGCATCTGAAATTAGGACCAAATCCAACATGTATTTTATATTTAGAGACCAACAGAACTCACCTCAACCTTACAAAGAAAGCGTAACGAAATTTCCTTCGAATGATTTTCTGAGCTCTTGAGAGACATAAGCTTTAAAGCAGAATTTGTTACTGGCCAGCCTTGAGATACCTTGATGAAAGCATCAATTCCCCCAACCATATGAGCTGTTATAGTCTCATCACGGTCCGAATATTCAAAAGAGTGTCTGCATTTGTAGAAGATCTATCATGTTTAAGAATACTGAAAATGCAACAAAAGTACAAAAGCACAATATACTGAAAAGAAAGCATTGATGGATCAGAAGTACTAATGGGACTAGGAAAAGAGGATATGTCTTCCATTAATAGAGAATACATTGGTTTGCATGCAAATACAGCAGTTTCTAACCATTTTAACTAACATTTTCTTCTTTTATTTATTTATTTTTGCTAAAAGAAATAGAAAATAATCCAGAGTGTAGAGAGACTGGGCCGAATGGGCCCTAGCCCATTATTGTCATTTTTTATCAATAACAGAATTTCATTAGAATTATAATAAATAGGTACAACAATCCATAGAGAGTTAAAAGGCTTAACTCTCTACAAGAGAGTAAAATAACATTATTGTCTTGTTATTAGTGCTTCTCAGTTGTTTTGTTTGATAATGGGCTTTTCTTTATGGGCCTGTTAATCTTTTTTATGTTTTTTAAGTATGTTTATGAGCTGGCTGCCCACTTAAGGGCAGACTTGTAATTTGCTCAGTTTTAGTGAGATTAATAAAAGTTAAGAGAGGTAGAAGAGGAGACCATCAAACTCTCTTCTCCATCTTCTACCTCTTCTTTCTTGTTGTCTTCTTCTTTTTCTTCTTTGCTAATCTGAGATTATTTTACAATTTTTTATTGGACTGAATCACATCGTTGTATCAGATCAAGGCTTCTTTCCTTCTTTTTGTTTTCTTTCTTTTTCCCATACACCATTCAATTAGAAGAGTGTATGGAGACTGGAGAGTTAAGTTGCAGATTGTTCAAAGAACTTTTATGCCTAGTTGGTAGAGGACTTGGAGAGTCAGAATCTAGCTCTAGATTGCCAAGAAAGTGAGGCTGCTGATTTTTGCCCAAAACCCTATACGACTAGAGAGTTTCCAGTTACAATTTAAACAAACAATTTGGGTGTGGCACTCAAGGCACTGGAGGTTCTTTTTGATCTCTAGAAGTGGGCGGTTGCGGTTGGAAGAAGTCTGGGAAGCTCTAGTAGGAGCAGTTGCTTCTTCTCTCTTTCTCCTCGGAAGCCAGGTATAGTGAAACCCTAGATTTGGGACTTTCAGGTAGACTGATCTCAGTTAGGTCTATAAAAATTGAAAACCTTGTTTTTGGATTTTCATTTGGTCAATAGAGTAATCTGGAATTGAGATGAAGCAAGTTCCGGTGTCCAGGGTTGGTCCAATAGATTCCATTTTGACTAACTGGCTACAATTAAACTAGATGGAACAAATTACTTGGCCTAGACACAATATACAAGGATTTATGTTTGTAAAGAGGTAAACTAGGGTATCTCACGGCCAGTAAGGACAAACTGGCAAAAACTAACCTCACATAAGTCAGCATTACCTCTAGATGACTTCAGCCAAAGAGATTTGGGCTAGTGTCACAGAAACATATTCTCAGAAGTTGAATGCTGTTAAGAGCCTATAAGTTGAAGAATGATGTGAACAATCTGAGACAGGGGGAGAAGAGTGTAGTTATTTACTACTCTATGTTGAAGTCACTGTGGCAAGAGATTGATGTTATGGAGATAATTGTATGGGAGAGCACCTAGGATGCAGAGACATTCAGGAAACTAGTGGAAAAAAACAAGGTATTTGAGTTTCTTACAGGACACACCCTGAGTTTGACATTACAAGACAAAATATTCTAGCCAAAGATGAAGTAACCCATGCTCAAGCATATTCTATGTTTGACATTACAAGACGAAATTTTCTGGCCAAAGATGGAGTAACCCTTTCTCAAGCATATCCTATGGTAAGTAATGAAGAGTAGGCACAAGTACAGTTATAGGGGCCATGTTCAAAGCATTTTGCACATGTTGGATTAAAGCCAAAGGGATCGAATGAGAAGAAAGAGATGATATGTGAATACTACAAGAAACCGACACATACTAAGGACACTATTGGAAACWTCATCCCAATCTTCTCCTAGAAAGGATTCTATAGTGAGAATGGGCCGAATGGGCCGAATGGGCCTTAGAGATTATTTCTTTTAAGTTATGTTTTTTAAGTCATGTTCTTTTAGTTATGGGCCTCTTTTGTTTTCTTTTAATTATTCCTTTAGTGCTGACCACCCCATTAAGGGCATCCAAGGAATTGTACTCAGTTTGGAATTAAGAGAATAAAAGACATCTTGGGGGGCTAGAGAGAGTATTGAACTCTTCTCTTCTCTCTTCCCTTCTCTTCTTCTTCCAAACTACTGTTGAAACCTCTCTTCTTCTTCCTTTTTTATATTTTCTAAATTATTGCAAGTGCATTTCACAACTTGGTATCAGAGCAGGTTTTCACCTTCAACATCTTTCTCCCTTCTTTGCCCATACACAATGTCTATGGAGAACTGGTCGGTTGATCAATCAATAGAGGCAGCCCAATTAGGATGATTTTTGGAAAGCTTCTATGGAGATTTTCATCCTTAGTTGAAGCCCAAGGCAGGTTCTTGGAGATTTTTCCCAAAACCCTAGATAATTGGAGAAACTTTATTACAGGTCGTAGTGACATTTTGAAGTTGGTTCTTGGGGATCATAGGGAAGCCTTTTGATTTCTTTTGAGGGCAGTTTGGGTTGGATAGAGTTCTGGAACTTCTGGTAGGAGGCTAGGAGCGGTTGAAGTTTCCCTCCTCCCATTCTGTGGGGTCCTGTAACCTTGCTTTTTGGGAGGTTAAAAAGTTGTTCTTTGATTGGAATAGCAAATCTAGCCTAGTAGAGCCCAATTTTGATTTTTGTTTGCATATATTCACTCAATGGAGCAAACTGAAGGAGAAACCAAATATCCCACAAATTTTGGGTTTGGACATGGGGTGTCAATAAAGAATATTTTTGGGGCAATGACCACTGAAGTTGAATGGGACCAATTATTTAACCTGGTCTCAGTCCATTAAGATCCATGTGTGTAGTTAAGGGAAATGGGGTTACATTACTAGGAGCAAGAAGAAACCAGCAGAGGATGACCCTACCTATGAAAGGTGAATGCAAGAAAACTACACAATAGTGGGTTGGTTAGTGAATCTATGCAACCACGCATTAGTCAACACTACCTGTGGATGGAAATTGCAAAACAAGTCTGGGATAGTGTCACAGAGACTTATTCCCAAAAACTTAATGTTGCTAGGGCCAACAAATTGAATAATGATGTGAATAATCTAAGACAAGGGGAAAAGCCCTTATCCATCTACTTCTCCATGCTGAAATCGCTTTGGCAGGAGATTGATCTAATGGAGAGTGTTGTTTGGGGTTGTACAAAGTATGCAAAAACACATAAGAAATTTGTGAAGAGAAACCAGGTCTTTGAGTTCCTCACCAGACTCAACCCAGAGTATGATATTGTGAGGCAGAATGTTTTGGCAAAGGATGAGGTGACTTTGTCTCAGGCTTATGCTATGGTGAGCAGTGAGGAGCGCAAAAGAAAAGTTCAGTCTGTAGAGCCACAGGTTAATCACTACGCCAATGTTGGGATGAAGCCGAAGGTCAACACTGGAAAAAAAGATGTTATTTGTGCAAGAAGCCTAAACACACTAAAGACACCTATTGGAAGCTGAATCCAGAGCTCGTTCCTACCAGACTCAAGAAAGAAAATTGTGGGAAAAGGTTTGAGAATGGAAAAGGTGAAAATGCAAATGTAGCCAGGATTGAGAATGAGAAGCATGGTCGAATAATCAGTCACTTGGAGCCCATTGCTACAGTATCATTAGAGACCGTTCCTTCCTTTACATATGCACACTCAGGTATTTGTGCCACTACAAATCAAGCTTCCGTCTCAAGTAGTCATAAAATCCCTTGGATAATTGATTATGGTGCCTCTGACCATATGACCAATGTTTCACATTTATTCACCTCTTACCAACTCCTTTCTGGCCAAGACAAGATATCCCTTGCTAATGGCTCCCTTGCCCCTATCACAAGAAAGGGAGACATTAAGACCTCACATGCCCTTACCGTATCATTTGTTCTCCACGTAAAACATAATACCAATTAGATTTTAGTTAATAATTTAACTAAATCCCTGAATTGCAGTGTGACCTTTTTCCCTTCATATTCTGTTTTTCAGGACATGAAATCTTAGAAGGTGATTGGGAGTGGCCATGAGGCAAATGGGATCTATTTGTTAGAGATGCCTGAGCAGAGCCAAGTACAACCTCAGAGAACTGCGTTTATTTTAGAGTCCACTAGTCGCATTATGTTATGTCGTAGTCGTTTGGGTCATTTGTCTTTTTCTTCAATGAGTCAATTGTTTAAAGAGTTATTTAAAAGAATAAGTTTGTCGAGTCTACATTATAAGTCTTGTGAGTTCTCAAAGCAATGTAAACACACTTATACTTCCAAGTAATAAAAGATCGACTATTCCTTTTAATGTTGTTCACTTTGATGTGTGGGGGCCTTACATTTATCTTGTATGGGTGGTTATAGATATTTCATCCTGTTTATTGATGACTTTTCACGACATACCTGGATTTACCTATGCGCTCTCATGCTGAAGTGCCTAAGCTTGTGCAACAGTTCCATGAATATATATATATACTCACTCAATTTGATACCCGCATCAAAATATTCTGACTAGACAATGCTAAGGAATATTTTGTGAAGGACCTTATCTTCTATCTTGAGAAATTTGGGCTTGTCCATCAGAGTTCTTGTGCCCGTACTCAACAACAAAATGTAGTGGAGAGGAAAAACAAACATATTGTGGAAGTCACAATATGACCAACAACAAAATGTGTCCATCAACGTAATCTACCCATGTTCCTGTGAAGTTTTGGGGTGATGCAATTTTAACAGATACCTATCTTATTAATCGTATGCCTTCTCGAGTCTTGGGATTAAAGTCTCCTTTTGGAGTCCTCTTTCCTGGTGTTGAGATTTTCCCCATTCCTCTATGGGTTTTTGGTTGCACTGGCTATGTCCACATTCCTAGTTCCAAGAGAYATAAATTTAAACCCAATGCTCAAAAGTGTATCTTCCTTGGTTATGCCTCCACATAGAAAGCGTATTGTTGTTTTGATCTTATTAGGGGTACCTGGTTCGTTTCCATGGGTGCCATCTTTGCAGAGTCGATCCATTTTTATAGTCATCCTTTTGAGGAGAGATCTCTTGAATTGTTTTCTCCATCCCTTCCATTGCCAACTCCAATTGAGTCTTGTGTCGAGCCCTCCACAGTTACCCCCATTCCCGTGGAGGGATCCTCTCCTTTAAGGTCTTTCATTCCTACTCCTACTAGTTCTCCAGTTTTTACCACTTATCCTATTTTACAGAGGTAGTACTAGAGGCAAAGGCCAAGGCAAACACAGGTTGATCCCACACCTCCAGTTGAGTCTCAAGTGCTTCCAATTACTAAAGAGATGACATATCCGACATCTCCACCACCAGCATCTTTGTTTCCAGACCTTGACCTACCCATTGCTTTGAGAAAAGGTAACAGAAATATACAGCTCATTGCATTTCCAAGCATCTTTCCCAAAGCTTGTTGTCCACATCCTACTATTCCTTTCTAGMCTCTATTTCCTCTTAACCCATCCCAAGGTCAGTGTCAGAAGCCTTAGCCAAACCAGAGTGGAGGGATGCTATGAGGACTGAAACGGAAGCACTTCATAAAAATAATACCTAGGACATTGTTGACTTGCCAACTGGGAAAGAACCTGTTGGGTGCAAGTGGGTTTTCACTATCAAGTATCATGTAGATGGGCCAATCGAGAGATATAAGGCTCATCTTGTTGCTAAGGGATATACCCAAGTATATGGAATAAATTACATTGAGACTCTCTCTAGTTGCTAAAATGACTTTTGTGAGAGTATTTTATCCTTAGTAATGAGATGTGATTGACATCTTTATTAATTTGATGTTAAGAATGCATTCTTGAATGGTAATCTCATTGAAGAGGCATATACATCCCTTCCTCCTGGTATGTATGGTAAAGAGATGCAAGGTAAGGTGTGTAGATTAAAGAAGTCACTTTATGGCCTGAAACAATCTCCACATACTTGGTTTGAYAGGTTCAGGGCTGCTCTTGTTCAATTTGGCTACACTCAGACTCAATAAAATCATGTCCTCTTTGTTAAGAGGAGAAATACTCTTATTACATTTCTTATTGTTTGTGTGGATGATATTGTGGTTACTAGCARTGATACAAAAAAAGTTGATGCTCTCAAAAAATTCCTCAATTCTGAACTTGAGATTAAAGACTCAAGAAGGTATTTTTCTTAGCATTGAGGTTGCTAGGTCCAAAGAAGGTATTTTTATTTCTTAGAGGAAGTATGTGTTGGATCTTACTAAGAGTGGAAAATTTTGTGCTAAACCTGCCTCCACCCCTATTGATGTGAATCATAAACTCTTAACTAATGATGGAGAGCTTTTAACTGACAGGGGAGTATTTCAAAGACTAATGGGGAATCTTCTTTATCTATGTATGACTCATCCAAACATTTCATACGTTGCGAGTGTCATCAACCAGTTCATGCATGCTCCTAGAGACACATGGTTGCTACAAAAAGGGTAATATGCTATCTTAAGAGAACCTCCGAGAAGGGTATATTATTTGCTAAACATGGCCACATGAAGGTAGAAGCATATACAAATGCTGATTGGGTAGGTAATGTGGTTGATAAAAGATCCACATCAGGCTATTGACAGCCGGAAATATTGTTTCCTGAAGAAGTAAAATGTAATTAGTGGTTGCTAGGTCTTCAGCTGAGCTAAAGTATAGAACTATGGCCCATGAGATTTCTGAGTTGTTATGGCTTAGATCTTTCCTTGATGAGATGGGTGTTTCATGTGATAAGCCACTAATGTTGTATTGTGATAACCAAGTTGCTATTAAGATTGCTCACAACCCGGTTCAGCATGATAGAACTAAGCAAGGTAGACAGACACTTTATATGGGAGAGAGTGGCTTCATGAGGGGTGTGGCTTCCTTTAATTGCGTCAAAAGAACAACTAGCAGATTTTCTAAGGGAGTTCCAAAAGAAAAACTTTAGCATTATGTAAGCAAGCTGGGCATGATTGGCATCTATGCTCAGCTTAAGGGGGAGTGTAGTGAGAATGGGCCGAATAGGCCTTAGTGATTTATTTCTTTTAAGCTATGTTCCTTTAGTTATGGACCTCCTATGTTTTCTTTTAATTATTTCTTTAGTGTTGGCTGCCCCATTAAGGGAATCCAAGGAATTGTATTCAGTTTGGAATTAAGAGAATAAAACACATCTTGGGGGGGCTAGAGAGAGTATCGAACTCTTCTCTTCTCTCTTCCCTTCTCTTCTTCTTCCACAAACTACTACTGAAACCTCTCTTCTTCCTTTCCTCTTACTTTTTTATATTATCTGAATTATTGCAGGTGTATTTCATATTAGGGCAAATGTTTATATGAGATTTGCCCTAATATGCAAGCCTCATATAAGAAAGAAGAGATGTTGGCTGAGAAAGCCAGGAGACCTATTGTCGGCTAAGAAAGAAAAAAAGAAAGAAGAAGGAAGGAGAGGAGGGAAGAAAGAAGAGGAGGAGGATGATTCGATGCTCACCGACGACGGCGACGGCAAGACGGTGACAACAGATGTAGATCTGAGATCTGAGTTCTTGGATCTCAGATCGCTCAGATCTCAGATCTCAGATCTGAGTTCTCGAATCTCAGATCTCATATCTGAGATCGATTTCTCTAAAACACTTGTAGTCTTCTTCTTCTTCTCGGATCCCAGATCTGAGTTCGTGTCTCAGACTGGATCTCAGATCTTAGTTCTCCTCTCTGCAACTTTATATTGCAAACCGCTGGCCGGGTCAAATGAGTCGACAGTTCGACCGCTCGGGTCAGCAGTTTTCTGACGAAGTCAACAGTTTTTTACTTGACCCAAGAATGGGTTAGGGGTTAAACGGAACCGGTTGCTTGGACGGTTTCCAGGCCGAACAGTCCGACTGTCTGGTCAACGACGGTTCAAAAACATTGCTTTTATCTATTAGTAACTTGACTAAATCAAAGAATTGTAGTGTAACCTTATTCCTTACTCATTGTGTTTTTCAAGACCGGAAATCTTAGAGGACGATTGGAAGTGACCATGAGGCAAACGAAATATACTTGTTTAATACACCTGATAAAAGTCTTGAGCCACCTAATGGAGTAGCTTTGGAGTCAATTTCATCAGAATCAATTGATAGAGTCATGTTATGGCATCTAAGATTTGGCCATTTGTCTTTTTTCTGCTTTGAGTCATATGATATTGAAATTTTAAACCTTGGAACYACTATTTGTTGTAACGGTAAAACCTTGGGCTTTCTTTTTTCTTCATGGGGTTACACAATAGGGGCCAACTCATCCCCCTATCCATAACCCGCCCCCCCCCAACCCTAGTGACAACAGTGGGATTTCGTCCCAAGTCTCCACTCCATCTACCCAGAGACCTTACCAATTCAGTTAGCATTGTCTATGGCCTGTTAAGTTTTTAAATATGAGTTCAAGAATGAGAATGGCCATTTTATGTAAAAACATGTCAAAGTTTAGGTGTATATTTAGTCCACCCCTCCCAAGACCCCAGATGGCTGGAACCAACAATGTGTAATGGCCTTCTATTGTTGTATAGTTGTCCATCTAGAAGACAAAGATCCTTTTGCAATTATGTGATTAGAGTAATCTTCTTATGGATTGTCCTCTTGCTCTAAAATACTTCTCATCTTGTAAGAGAAAGGAATTTGTTTGTAACTGCTTTGCTGCTACTTTGGGATATAAAGGGAGGTAAATTGTAAAGTTTTGTTGGAGGATTTAGTGCATTTGTTCATCACTATACTTAAACTTTTGAATAAATATTTAATTTGCCTTGCAAAAATAATAATCATTTGGTTTCTTTCTTTCGAAATAATAAGCGTTTGGGGATATAGATAGTGTTCTTGTGGCATGGGCTTTTAGAAATTGCAATGTAATGGATTAGGTTATTTGGATCAAAAGAAATCAATCAAAAAGTTCTCTTCAATAAATTAAATCTACCCCATTTAAGAATAAACATAAGAAGTTGAGAATTAAAACTAAAAATAGCAATATTACTCATCCAGGGTTCAAATCTTGGAAACAGCCTCTCTGTGTATATGCAGGGATAAGGCTGTGTACATCTATCCCACCCAGACCCCACATTGCGGGAGCCTCATGCACTGGGCTGCCATTATACTCATCCAGTGTTTTCATGATTTAAAAAAAAAAAAAAAAAAAAAAAAAAAAAAAAGAGGGATAGGAACTTGGAACAAAATAGAATATTTGTAAAACATAAAAATCAAACCTTGATTTGTTTGCAACCTTCACTAGTGACTGCCTTAGAGTGCATAAAAGAATTCTATCCTGCACTTTTCTTACAAACCACTCCAAGGAAGATCTTAACTTTGGAGTTGATAATGATGGAAAGAACTCCCTGGAAGAAGTACAAGGGTTACATCATATTGAGATTAAAGGAAACCCAATCAATTATATGTTGTTGGTGATTGTTCCATCCAAGTGATAAGTCTTTAGTTCATCAAAGTGCAGCATATCACATTTCCCAAGATTATGTGTGTTTTTCTAACCTTCTATCCACATATGAATTCATAACTGTTTGTGTTTCAATTCATATGCATATGGCTTCCATTGGCTTAATAAATAGAAATAAAAATATCAAATTCAAACATAAGTAATCAAAAATTTTAGCACAAATTGCACCAAGAGAGATACAATGCAAGTTTGCAACTATTTTTCAATCTTCCCTCAAAGAAAGTTTTGGCACATGATTTTAAGCTTCAACATCACAAAAACTTGGACATGTCTAAGGGGCACATGCATGATGAACATGCAACTCTCGGAACTCTTAACATGAAATACAACCTATATAAATTCTTGTGATTCATCAGCAAGCAATCTCTCAATAAATGCACAGCATGAATTCACACATACTGTACAACTGATCAGCACCACCTGTCATCATATGCACAACCCCCTCATACATACTATACATATTTGGAACAAACTAATACCATGTGCACTTAAATTGGTGTGAAATATTCTGGAGTAACACCAAGCCCATAATACTGATTATATTAGTTTCCACCGACCAAATAAATCAGTCCAACACATATGTCTTAGTCATATGCCATGAATGAGTATGAAACTACGAATGTGAATAGTGTATAAAACAAGTCAATGTACAAATTCCATGTAATTCCTCATTCAACATTCATGCAGGACACACCATCTTCAAAAGCCAACCCATTAAGCATCTCCTAGCAATTTTTTTTAAATTGCATGTGTTGGGTTAATTTCATCATTAGATGATGTACTTTATGTCATCGTTTCTGGCTAATTATCAATCCAGTAACCTAATGAAATAATAACAAATTTACATAAACAAAAAAATATTAAATACATAAAATGAATAAACAATAAAAATATCCGCTAGGCCACAAATAAAAGACATAAAATTCCAACATTTAGTTTACCAACAAAATTAGAATTGTATTAATATCAAAGAAGCATTTAGCAGGCTTCCAGCATAAGAGACACTTTATAGTAGACCACCCCAAGGTTCAAAATATCAATACACCTGATACGCCGGTAGAGGCGTATTGGGCAGTATCGATAGCTTTTTTTCATTTTTTTAGTTTTTTTCAAATTTGGTTCAGAGGGGTCGGTTTAAGGTCCGTCCACCCCCTAAACCGGTCGTAACCCTGATACACCCTCTATAGGGACGTATCGGGAAGCTCCCGATACGATACGTATTGGTTGATACGGCCCGATATGTATCGATACTTTGAACCTTGGACCACCCCCTACACCCAAAACAAAAAGGGGCAATTATGCCAAAAAAAATCCAAATATATCACTAGAAGCTCAAAAATATAAAATATAAAATATAAATAAGAAAAAGAACATTTAACCCACAATTTTTCCAGAAGCAAGAGAAGAAGGATGAAACTTACATTTAAGTTTTTCTATCAATAACAGAAATATAGTTAGTATGCTTCAATGAATAACATGTTCACAATTTAAATTCTACAGAATCAGAAGTCTCAAACTTTCAATCTGAGAGTTAAATTTGCAAATAATTCCAACATAAACATACCAAAAAGATTTTGCAGCATCAACAATCTCGCCTATGAATACATCACTTGGAAAAATCTGAAAATGTAAAAACATTGATTAAGAAATGGTCCAGATAAAAAGTAAAGCCAATATGAAATAAAATATTGAAATAAAAATCTTCATTATTTATTTGGCCCTAACATGTATTTGTTTGGGCTTTCCTCAAGGGGCTTGGTTGGGGGTCTGGGGCTCTACCCCAACCATGCTACAAAAAACACACAAAACCGCAAGATTTAACAAAGATGCACCCAACCAATGCCACCTTGTCACCTAGGCAATGCCTAAATGCCTTGAAAATGATAGTTTATAACTAAAGCAGAACAACATAAATACCCCTAGTGGACAGAAATAAGTATCAAATACTCCCATTCAAACTAAGCATATATATTTATCATGCCCAACTTGCCAAGATTACATTCCAACTTAGGATTAACTACTCCCTTAGTGAGAGCATTAGACAACTGCATTTTTTATTTGGCAAATGGTAACAAATTTCTCCAAAAACAACCCTCACTAGCTAAAATGCTGATTAGCTTTTATACTAAGTTACCTTGATACAGAAAAGACATGACTGGAAACAGTATTAGATTTGAAACTTACACTAAAAGTTAAAGTATCCAAGATGACACAGCACTCTTTTACAGGTATCCAGTTATCATAGCTTCTATATGCTTTGTTCTATCATGTTGACAAGATTGCGAGCTATATTTAATGCAACTTTATAATCACAATGCAGCATCTTCAAATGTGATCACAAGTTCCCTAACAAAAGATTGTGCAACCATAAAATCTCTAAGACACACCAGTGCCATCGATTTATAAATTTATACTCAACCACTATACTAGACCAAACCACCATTAACTGCTTCATGCTCCTTCAAGAGAAAAGATTTCCCCCAACAAAAGTACAATAGCTATATTTACACCTATTATCAATAAAACCAGCTCCATCTTCATTAATACATGTTTCTATCTTCATATGCCAGATTAGCATATAGAACTCCCTTCCTTGGAGTCACTTTCAAGTACATTGTTAGGAACCTGCCTAACACAGGGCTCTTCGAGGGAGCCAACCTCCTGAATGAGAGAGAGAGAGAGAGAATGAGAGAGGGGTTGTATGAGCTGAATGACTTGTTTCTCATATCTTTGATTATTTGTACCGTTTTTATAGAGCTTCCCTCAGTTACATTCTTTAATTTCTTTTTCTGTTACAGTGGTTGTGCCAGTTGTAGAAAGTTGTCTTCAACAATTGCAAGTTGCTGGTCAGTTGGCTGGGTTATTATACAAGGAAGCTGACGTGGCCTTCTCTTGTAAAACTGACTAACCATTTTCTGTTGTTCTGTTCCAGCAATCCTAACAATCCCTCCCTCCTTTAGAGAGACCTTGCCCCCAAAGTCTAAAGTGGGAAAATTTTTTTGCAGATCCAGGTAAGGTTCCCAGGTGGTGCCCTCCTCTGGAAGAGTAAACCATACAACTAGTGCTTCTGGGATGACCCTACCGCCACGGGGCACCAACCTGAAGTCTATGATGTGGACTGGCTCAGTCCGTAATTGTCCATCATCTGAAAATGTGGGTAATGTAGCACTTGTAATGGCTCCTGGCCTAGGCCATTTCTTCAATAAAGAGATGAAATACAGGATGTGATCTTGATGTCATAGGGAGGTCCAGTTTATATGCTGTAGAGAACATTGATGTGGGCCCCACAGCTGTGGTCCCACGCTATCCGTAGGGTAGAATGTATCTAGTCATAGCTGATGGTCAATTTATTATTTTGTTATTCTAGTTGTCATTTACTTTTCAGTTTTATATTGTTATGTGTTATGATGTAAACACCAAGGGCAGATGTGTCCTTTCATGTAACTAGCATAACATATAAATATTAACTTAAAAGTGGCGGTGGCAGAATTTTGAGATTCTGTTCTTCTCTTCAAACCTGTGTTCTACTGTTCTCTCATCACTCTTTCTCCTCCTTCACTTTCTCTTCTCTTCGAACCTGAAGTTTCTTAGTGATCAAGACTGATAGCAGTCTTGATCAACTACATGGTATCAGAGCCAAATTAGGGTTTCTCATGTGAG